AAGTAGGAAGTACTGATAAAAGTACTGAAGTAGTTTATAGCCGAGAGGAAAAGAAAGAAGAGAATGTGGAAATGTCTAGTTCACCCACGGAGGACACAGAAGAAGAGAACACAGTAGAGGTAATGGCCAATCTTATCTCCCAGGAAGCTACAGCTATGGTGAAAGATGAAATTTTTCAGAAAATCTTGTCTGAAAAAGAGAAGTTACCAACAGTAAGCATGCTGGATTTTGCTGGCCAGTTAGCATATTATGCCTGTCACCAAATTTACGTAACACAAAAGGCTTTCTTTATCCTTGTGTTGGACATGACTAAGAAGTTTGAAGATGTTGTCAGTAAAGAGAAAGATAACCAAGAAGGATCAATCTTCTCTGTGTGGACGTACAAAGGTAAGACACTTGTAAAATGTTTTATTTTTAGCTCATCTGAGCCAAAGACTCATAGAGCTAATGCTATTGCCATTTGTTCGGTGTGCGGCATGCGTTGTGCAGTGTGCATAAACTTGTTAGATTACGGGCCATTATATAAGGGGTGCATGTTTTGCTAAGAGAGGGTAACATTTGAAACTTTGTCACCCCAAGGAAAACCATTGTCAGCGCGTCCGCGGAGTTGACAATGGTTTTCCGTGGGGTGTCAATTTAAAATGTTACCCTCCAAAACAGGCACCATTTATTTTATTATACTGAATGTCTTATTACATTAAAGACGTCAGCAAAAAATGCTATGAAAAAAACGTCGATGTGTCTTTACGTTGTTTAGAAAGCTTTCACACTCACCGGTTCACCCTTTCCAATACATACCAATTTTATTGTTTGTTTGATACTCATTTAGATCATATAAAGTTTCATTATTTCTGGCTCGGGAGCATGTTTCCTACACTCGCAAGCATGTATCGTCTGTCGTTTGTTGTTTTCAAGTAAGTTTATCGGACGCAAACTTTAGCAATTGACGTCAAGTTAATTCCAATCTTTCAAACGCGCAACTGACATTTTTAGAATTCTACGGTGAACCGTTGTGCGCATAATTTCCACGCATGTGGCATTACCATTGTGTTACCCGTTGTCACGTGTGTTGCTAAGGCTCAGGGTAATTGATACGGATTGTTAACTCATGTCTAAACCAATCAGATCTTAGTATTTAACATGAAAGTACTAATAATACTCAATATCCCCTTGGTCAATAATTGTCCAATTTGTCAAAAGGTATCCTTGGCCTAATGGCTTCCATCTGTAAAAAAAACACTGGGTAGTGAACCTTAGGCAAGGGGATATAATTAGAAAAAATGAAACAAAAATACTGGTTGCTAAAAAAATCTCTTCTCAAGAACTGATGTTGTAGATAAAAATTTGCATGGGGAATTACCCTCAGGCAAACAGCATGGTCTCAAGGTCTCTTCAAAGTTGTCCAGAAATTACTTAAATTTTATTAAAATGTTGATATTTTGCTTACTATAAGGACTTTTTGTCAGTTGATGCATCTAAGGACCTCATTAGTCATTACGTTGACTTAAAAGTAGGTCAAGATGACTTTATAAATATTGAGCCCATTCTTTTTCAAAATGATTTAGAGGCATATTTTGAACAATTTCTGGTCTATGCTCATTAAACTTTCTTAGTTGATGCATCATAGGCAGGTTTGTGGATAACCACTTGCCCACTTGCAAAAGCAGGTAAAATTTGTGTGGGTGATTAGATATTAAAAAAGAACATTCGAAGATGAATTCTGTTTATAACTTTCAATAAATTAAAAATGGTTTTCATCTTTTTAAGAGGAATGAAGTAAAATAATTTTAATATTGGCAATTTTTAACAGAAATCATTAATTTTAGAATTTTTTTTCAATAATCTCAAGTTTTTGGTCTTAGTCATAAGTTCTTTTTGTAAAAGGGACCACTGGTTGCCCAAATGGAAAATGATTTTTTCCCCGGAATACAATCAAATTTCAGTTTTATTTTTGATGTACTTTAGTTTCAGAATGAACGCTCTACTAACCTAGATTATTTATGTTGCGTACAAGCATATTCTTCAATCATATATGTGACTTTGATCATACATGGCGATTTATCGTTTCGGTTATAAGGAAAAGACCAACTAATTATTTTCCCATAGAACTCTATAAAAACCTTAGGCCCTTCAGTACTTAATTAGGACAATTTCAGAAAATCCTTAGCATCATTAAAAACTTCCTTCTGAGCCCTTGCAAAAAAAAATGAAAAAAAAATATATATGGTCCTATGGCGTTTATTGTAAAAATTGCAGTTATTTTCAACTTATAGCGATCAGCAGTAAATAACACGCTACATCAAAAATCATTAATTACTACAGTAGTATATAAAGTGTATACTGTATATAAAATGTATTTAATAATACATGTCCATGTGTTCATGTGGTAGTATTAGATACAGGTATCATGGCTTCCTATAGAATCATGCAAAGGAAAACATTTTTGGGCTAGTGGGTTAATCTTCAGCTCAATTTGGAAGAGCACAGAGGCCAGGTATGGGTTCAATCCGAAGAAGACTAGGCATATACATGTAAATGTCTCTATTGGAAGAGCACAATACAAGCCCAAAGTATGTTTCTGTGGCAGGTATTTATTTGTTTCAGTGGATTTGACACATGAATTGATGGTCAGTAGCCGGGAATAATGAATCTGCATCTGTTTATAGAGGGTGTTGCCATTGAAACTGACAAGACTTCTCCCAATACACTGCTTACCGTACAAAAGTACACTACATCATGATATATATCTTTCCTAAAAATCAATTTTTTTCCACTTGTATAAGTACTAACCAGTAAAGCTACAGTCTCATTCAGAATTGTAGTTTTATTGTTACGCTTTATTTGTTCCTTTAGACTTACATACTCTTGTTTCTTTTAGACTACTTGAAGTTTTGGATAACCTCAATCAAGACATTTGGAGGCAAAAGGCACCACTGTTTCTTGTTGCCACACACACAGAGAAAAAATCTAAAAGATGTAAGTATTCTGTCTTAGAGAAATATGAATTATAAAGGAATAAACAGATCTCCAACCTATCGTGAAAATTACAAGTAATCCATACTTAATAAATACAAACACAAGAGTCATTTATCCTATAAGGTTTTAAGATTGGTTACAGTCTTTACAAAATGAATTGGTTTCTATTTTATGTCGAAGCATGGGAAAAATCGTATAATAATTCATGTCTTTTACTGTAGACATACTCTTTTCCCACATCAAACGAAATAAATGAATATAATTAAGAAATAAGGTAAGTTCAATTTCGGGTTGGTTTCAAACCATAAAGCCCGAAGGGCTTTCGAAGAATCTATGTGTGAACCCGTTTTACTTATGCATGTAATTTCAACTTATGTTATCCAATTACGTGTTTACGCTTTATAAACCGCGAAGCGGTTTATAAGAAAGCGTAAACTGCTCAAGTTTTGATATATCGGATAACATAAGTTGAAATTAGCTTCATTCCTTATAATTTAATGACAAGTAGACAATACAATAATTCCTCCTTGGAAAAAGGCTTCAAATTGTTCAATTTTCAAAAGGTACGTCAAGTGGAGTAAACGTTTTTGTAACTCATTGTGATGTAGGCAAGTTATTTTATACAAAATGTAATATGTTCCTCTGAATGATTCAGCCAATGAAATTGCTTGAGCAAGTGAAATTAAATTATATCAATAAAACCAAAAATGTCTATAATTAACAAAGGATAAATCATCTGTCTCTGAATCTGTAGATAACTTTGTCCGTTGAAATTACCCACAGGCAAACAGCTGTCTTTTTCAATAATTTTTTTTTTGCCCAATAGTTTCTCCACCCTTCATGTTTTAATGGTTAAAAACATGTAATTGTTGTTTAAATGTAAAGTAAAACATCTTAAGAATTTAATAAAAGTAAAATATTTATATGTTGCAAACTTTTTTTTAATTCTGTGGCTGTTTACATAAGTACACTATCTACATCATACTAGCGAAGATTGCTGTTATATCAAATATCACCTTAAAACTATATTGGTATGCAAAATCCACAGCAAATCTTCGCATAAATCAATACAAATACTTTATTTTATTTGCTTAAACAATAAAAGGCCATTTAAACCTGTCGGTATGCATGTTGTAGCATTTTTCAGTGTATTTTTACTCATTTTCCTCTATATCAAAAATTGTCGTCTTGTCCACAAAAATATCTATAACTTTTTCAATAATGGTTCAAACTTCATAAAATTTGGTATGTATTTAATTCAAAGTATAACCTTTCGTAAATTGAAAATAAATAATAATGTTGCCAGGTAAAAAATATTGAAATATGGTGTCTGTTTATGAGTAACCCTGTACATTTTTCATATGATACTTGTTTGGATTGCTGTCAAATTTAACATCACATTGAAATTAAATCAATAAGCAAAATCTATAGCAAAACTTAGCATAAACTAATCAATTACTGTGTCTTTCAACAATTTGAATCCATATCAGCTTGTCATTATGCAAATAATGGCATTTACAGTCATTTTTTTTCTTACCATTTCATCTCGAAAAATCGTGCTGCCTCTAAAAATGTATATACCTTCTTCAAATATGGTTCAAACCTCATTAAATTTAGTACACATGCAATCCACTAATGTGAAATATAAATGACACTTCACTCTTAATAACTCAATCAAGAAATAAAGATAAAACTGAAAATATATCACATTCTACCGTTCCATATGACTATATTTTCTCTCCACTCTCTACATGTACAAGTCAGTTCAATATACATATTATACATATGTCCATAAAAGTATGTATGCTTACATACTAAGATAATCCACAACCTTTTGAATAATCTTTGATGATTTTGTTATCCTTACACTCTTAGGATTTTCTTTCATTGGTTCTGAAAATATATATCTAATACCATTTTCTGGGTCTCTAGCATGAATTTGTCTCAGTTTTGGCAAACTAAGTCCACATAGCACCAATTTTCGAAGTGTTAAAGCTGACACAACTTTGCCTCTTAATAATGGCTCATAAAGACTCTTTATATGTGTAATATGACAAATAAAAAACATTTTCAGACACTGCACTTTCTGACAAACACAAATTAGAGTAATATAATTTTTCTAATGCAGTCACATCTGCCATCGCATTATGGGCCTCATATTCCTCTCCTAATAGATTGTGAACTAGTGTCTCTTGCTTGTAGTTAGGAAGCTGGACATCTTTCAATAATTTCTTGGAAATCTTTAGAGTGTCTAAAAATCCAGTTACATTATTACGAAATCTTTCAAGAAGATCACAATCTCCCAAATGGTGTCGCAAAATTGGTAGGTCAAAGTTTTGAATGTTATGCCCCACTAACACTGGATGGTCAAAAGACTCTAAAAATATCAGAAATTTGGTCAGTGCTTCGGGTGGAGTAACTGCAGCCACTGCTTCTCCCTTATAGCAAAGGCTATTTCCATCAAAGGTCAAACAGGTTGCTTCAGATGCTTCCTTGCTGATGGATCGAGTCGGCAAAGCATAAACTGAGAGCTCCTTTTCTTGACACTTTGCTGCAATTTGGAGTATATCAGATGTTCGTCCTATAGTAAGAAACAAAATGTGTGATCTTATGATATTGGCATACTCAATGTAAGAATAACAAGAGGATTTTGATAATATATTGTATGATTAACAAACATCTATAAATTATACATGTACTGAAATTCAAAAAATAAACAAACCAAATCCTCCCGTTTCCAAATCAAAGAACACCAATGGACGAGTATGCAGATTGTCAACAGGGGCATCCAGTTCAATATCATTTATGTCTATGTTCTCTTCAGCCTCTAAACAGATGTTTGGCTTATATGTATCTCCTTGAAAAACAATTCATTTTTTTTTTAGATTGTATCAATATATGAGTAAATATATTAAAGATAATGAAACCGCTAAAAATTACTAAATAGATGAAGATGCACATGTAGATTGCCAGTCTTCTTCTTTTGACGCTTGGCTGTGCATCAGGCGCTTTCTTTTCAGCTTAGCATCCTTGCGTCTAAGGTATAGATGAAGATCAGCACATGTACCTTACTTAACATTGAAACACATAACTGCACATTTTATCGTGGGGAAACAATTATAATTATTGTGGAAGTTAAAAGTAAATTCTTATCTTTAAGTTCATTCTGGTTTAAAACTTGTTAATTTATTTATTGCCTTTCAGCTTTTAGTTCCAGTCTTCTTCTTTTGACGCTTGGCTGTGCATTTCTAAAGGCGCTTTCTTGATTTTTCAGTCAAAGTTCAAGCATCCTTTCTGTCTGTTATAACATGTTTGTCTCAAGGTATATGTACCGGAAGTGACAAAAGAACAAGATTTAACATTCAGCGATACAAGATGAGTTTTTGCAATTGAATTTTATACCAAAAAATTACATTAGTGTCCCGCCCCATATTGTATTACACATTTTTAGCACAGGGACATGAGGACATTTTATAGAACAGGTGGGGAAACTACATCTATTAGAACTGTTTAATTAGACACAATGCATTGTGTTAAATTTTTAATATATAATGTATTGACTTATCTTTGTATATTAATAGTTTAAATAAACAGCAGGGATAGAGAGGCTTCTGGCGTTGGTATGTCTCTCGCTTCAAACTTCCAGGACGATTATATTCTTTTTTTTTCTTATTTTTTTTTTAAATGATAGTATTCAACATGAAAAATTTATAAGTGTATATTAATTTAAAAAGAAATAATGTTATCATAATAAAGAATAAGCAATCAAATCTTTATATCCATATTGGCATATTTTATTTGCTTCAGTATGTGTACATGTATACATTTAATATTTTTTTTGAAAGTAAAAATAAGCTTGGTGTATACATAAAAAGAAAATGTTATAAAAACAGAGAGTCCTACTACCATATATAACGACATACCATATATAAGTCGGTTTGCTTATAAGTCATTTTTTTAGTTAATCTCTTTGTTCGACTTATAGGCGAGCTATAAAAAGAATGGTTTAAAATGAGGTCAATACCTCCGATATATAAGCTTAACAAATACAACTGACTTATGGGCAAGTATATATGGTAAAACATATTCAAAATACTATGAACAAAATATTGCCTGATATTCAGCAAATGTAAACATGATAAATAACACAGAAACAAAAAAATTAAATCATGAATGGCTGCATGTAACACATTCTACCTCAGATATGTATTCAAAACCATCATTTTTTTGGCAAACTGTGGCAGAGAGCCTTGAGGCAAGACTTTCTGAGCCCCCATAAAACCTGCATACAGATGTATTGCAAAATAAGCTACATTGCTCTTATTCATTTAATGCTATTGTATATATATAAATTATATTCAATGCTATGGGAGGTGAGTACATGTAAAAATTTGCATGTACTTACAATCTCTTTGGTGCTTTAGAAGCTACCATCTGGTTAAAGCTTTCGTTTGACTGCGTGGACCCCATATTGGCCAATTCAGATGATCTAGATATGAATTTCTCCAGCAGAGACTGCAAGGCCACTTTAAGGTCTTTGTCATCAAGTGGTTTTCCATATGGCAGTGCCTTGTGTTTATATCCCTCCTCATTACCCCTACACCAAGTTCCACAACTAGAATGCTCACCTACACAAGATGATATTTGATTAATTTGCAATACATACATATTATTACATAGCCATGACAGAATAACAACAATTACACATATGGAAATTAGTTTCACAACAGTAGTGACTAGTCCTAATATTTCACTCAACAATACAAAGATAGTCTAGTTGGCCTTCATTACACACCATATAAATGAGGAATGATACTTCTTAGTCCAGTGGCTAGTTGCTCGGGTTGGCCCTTGTTTTGCGAAATACTGTAGCTGAAACATCTTTCAATGTGGGAACGGACTTTAGTGTTTCGCAGTAGCTTGTGAGTCTTGCTCAGTTCTATAAGCGAAGCCGTGAACCCTTTCCTAGTGTGATTACTGTCGCAATGCTTTGTGATATTCTTGTCTATGGTTGACTTCACCCTAGCTATTGTTGTGCTATCATTGTCCATCACTAATGTCGATACCTGTAAAATAATAATGATATAAGGCTTAATTGGAACCATCTCAAAAAATTTTTTTGAAATACATTCTGATAATTAACATGTTTTACTTTTTCTCCCTGGTCCAATACAGATTGTAGCATATCACAGGCCATGGCTGGTTCCATCGACTTGGCAGAGCCTTGCCAATTTTTCTTGCAGTTATGTTTTCTTGGTGTGATATTTTTTTCTTTAGCTGCACAGCAGATACGACATTTCTTGCTCTTTGTTGCATAGCCTACGCATTTCCCCGTTTTCTGTCCTATGAGAGTGGCATGACCTGAAAGACATTTCAAATTATTTTAAGAAAGTGCTTTCTTGAGTAAAGAAATTATAAATTGTTACTCTTAAGTAGAAGAATAATGTCAAAACACATCTCACCAGTAAGACTATTATATGACCTGCCAGTGCCCCTTTTCTGCCAAGCTCCGTCAAAACTCACAACAATACCATCTTCTGGAGAATCAGTTCTACAAGAAATAAACTAACCTTAAAATGATGGACATTAGCTAGTAAAACTTATATATAGCAATAAGCAAGTACAAAAAGTGGTTGCTCAAGATGGGAGCTTTACAGTTTGAAGTACATAAATAGTAGAAATTGTGACAAATTACTGAGTGTAATTTCTGAATTACTGTGCTTCCAAAATTCTTTAGATGAACACAGACTGTATATATTAATAAATCAAGAAACATATACATTTTTTAAATATTTTCCCCAAGATACTTGGAAATTTTAAAAAGGGTCATTTTTTTCTTGAGCCTCTAAGTATGAATATGAATATCTCCATTTTGATATCATACTACTGTACTAAACATCTAAACTATAAAGTGCAAACTTTTTTGCTTCGTGTGTGGAAAGTCAGACATATAAATGAAAGGTCATACATGTAGTTTGTGTTCTGACACATAAATTCTCTACAAAATTTAATTAATTTCTTTATTAAATACAACAGAGCTTGTCCTAACTATAACACTATCAGTACACATATCATTTCTGTGTTTCTAAATGAATTATCCATGTTCATACTTACAAAGCTACTTCAGTTGCCAGATTTCTAGAGCAGGATTCATTTGCCATCCTCTCAAGTTTCTCCCCAACTTCCCTCTCTCTCTCTTTCAGGTTTTTGTGGCAAATTCCAGGAATGTTAAGCATTGCCAGTAGCATATTCACGTGACTTTCCCCGAACCCTCCATTGACCATACCTATGTTGCAAATGTATATAAAATCATAAATACAATATGAAATTAGATACTATTATTTGATATACGTGCAAATCTAAATGACTTTTACCACTTTTACCTATTGTATATATTGAGCAAAATCATGCACGTGTATCCATGTGCATGGTGACCATATGTTATGTCGTGCATGCACGTTAATCTTGCAATATTGGAAGTTACAAATGACAAACTATCATGTTATTATGGCAATCTTACCTGCTGCCAGTTGTAGTATTGGCATCCCATGCCAGGCCCCCCAAATTCTACACTGTACCCTGATGCCGAGGCCCCCCTTCTCCCTGTTGCCACATCATTTAAAAGATGGCAGTGTTCACACTTTATTTGTAAAATTTGTGAAATTCCAAATTTTTTTTCGTTAACACAGTTATGTAGCTGTAAGGGGGACTGACAAAGCTGACAAGCCCTCAACCCATCTGCAAGTACATTCAGTTCCACGATGCGCCTGCCCACTCGCCAATCATAGGCTTTATCATTGTCTATAGAACCACCATCATCATCACACACAGTCACTTCCTCAGCAACGCCAAAATAGTCGTGATCTAATTGCACTAGTTCTTCATCGAGATCAACGGAATTGTGGTGACCTTCCAGTTCCAAGTCAGTTGGTGGCAAAGGCTCACCCCTGTTCTTAGCTACTCGTAATAACAATGCCTTTTTTAAACCCACGCACCTTTTTATCATGTCCCTGTTTAGTAAACTGTCCGTTTTTCTTACGACAGGTACGCAACTTGTTTTTCGCGGACATTGTTTATCATAACCGGACTTTAACTACCGGTAACTAATATTAAAAACGATAACGGAATAAATATTCCGGAATGAGCATAACACAAAAACATTTCACAAGTACTGTCAAATTAATAAATAGCACTGATTCATATATCACCAAATTTACAATATTTACAATTTATTTGCATGTCCATATGTTTCATCTAAGGGATCACTGTTTCCAAGATGAAGAACTTCAGATGCAGAGTTTGTGTTATTAACTTTTGATTCCCAAGGTTCTAAATAAGCTTTTCTGATCACAGACTTCTCTAAATTCTCAAATTAAAATGTATTTACCCACGATGTTTCTTTAAACTTCTTCAAATTTAATCATATTATATAGGGAAAATCTGAAAATCTCAAATAATTTTTCAGGAAATGCGATTTGAACTACCTTCCATATTTTTGAACCATAACTTGATCAAGTACATGGATGAGGCATCTAGGGATAGGTAAAGAAAACTGCAGAATTTTACACTTAATTCCTATACTTATTTCCATTGTTTCATAAGCATAGTGTATAAGTTTCCTTTAAAGAAAAGACCGTAAATCATGGAGGATCATGCTTATAAACATTGGTACCAAGGTTAAATTAAAAGAAATCTTAAATCTGCAAGTTTTACTTAATTTTATGAGGTACAAATGTCAACTTTTTTAATCACCGTTTGTTAAGATATTTAAGGACATTGAATTTTACAGGCATAAAATTTTCATGAAAAAATTTCAATTTAAATTGACTTTTTGAATTAAATTCATTAAAGTCCTTTGGACATATTTCGTATATCCTTAAATAGGTTCCTTAAATAAAAGGAAAACCTACTTTTAATTACCAGAAAAAAATGATTCACAAGTTTTTTCACATAAAAGAATGTTTTTATAATTATAATTTGAAAAATAAATGAATTAATTTAGACAAAATCTACTTTTAATAATTTACCATGGGCTAATAATATTTCTGAAAAAATCATTTGTGTTTACTTATTTAAAAGAGTCTGAAACTTTGCATAAAAAGGGGATTTTTGAAATTCTCAATCAATACTATTGAATAATTTGGAAAAAATAAAATTAAAGCATTCAATAAAAAATAGTTTAAATTCTTTATATATATAAATCCCATACATTGGAAAATCAAGAAAAAACTTAAATATAAAATTGAATGAATATATCTGATTTATGAAATATTGCTTATCTCAAGAACACAGGTAAGTCTATCTGTACCCCTTAGAGGGCACCTTAATTGAGTGTGATTACTTATTTCCGGGAACACACCCTAAGAGATTTGGTTTGAAATATGTAAGAAAAGAAATATTAAAATTTAAATTTAAATCATCTTTTGAACCTCATCCCAAGCATATTACAGGCATCATTTTTTGAGTGAAATGTTCAATCTCCCTTGGTCATCACACAATTAACATGGAGTAATTTGTGTTGATTATATAAAAATCTACTGTGTCGACCGATTTACTCCGCTGATATTCAACAGAAAACAGCTGAAACGACCTCCACAAATAGTTCATGTCATTTTCTCCTGAATTGATCTTATCTTTATAATTTGAAATGTAAGTAAATGTAATGATGAAGTAATCCCTTGGCTTGAAAAGTGGGAGGGTATATAGTAATCAGGATTTCCTTATGTAGTTAAATATATTGAAAAACTCTCTTCTTCAAGACTGAGTGAAATTTATTGGAACGTTCACAAATCTTTAGTACAATTGCCAGTGCACATCCTATTTTACTTTTTTATTCACTTATTTTAGGTTTGCAAAACATGGACATTGCCATTAAACCTATGACGTCACATATAGAAACTTCTGGATAACATTTGATAGGAAGACTATTCCTCCTTACACATTACCGTAAAACAATATATAGCAACACATGGACATTATGGGAGGCGGGGGGTATCATTTAGGAGGTAATTGCTCACAGTACCTCTAGTTTTGAATATTAGATTTCGTTCAAAGTAAAACTAAATTATTAGCAACCTCAAAAGTTTTTCGTAATGGAACTTATTTTTAGAGTTGCATCATCTATAAACACTTAAAGAGATACGACGACAACTCTACATACTGACGGCAAGTGGTAAATCTAGGCTTCCCGACACCCGACGGTCCCGGATTTTTAGCAAATTCTTTTTTACCGGTGCACAGAATTTATTCAAACTTTTCATGAACATTTTCTGGGTTTAAATAAATTCATTAATCATAAAAACTTTAGGAAACGTGTATTTATTACCAAATTAGCAGTATCACCTGCCAAAAAGCGGTAAATGTATACTCTGTTACAAATAATAAAACAAAAACTGACACTGATTTGTTTTCGAAGAATCGCAATTAAAAACAACAAAATGAAGTACATATATCTTTGCATGCCCTGCCATGAATATGGCCGGGGCATATAGTGTTTGTCATGTCCGTCTTCCATCCTTCCATCCTTCCATCCTTCTGTCCTTCTGTCCTTCCTTCCGTCACATTTTGCGTTTAGCTCTGTTCAAAGCTAAGTTTCAAAGAAACTGTCCAAGATGTTTTCACAAAATTCATATGCTGATGATATTGATGAGAGCTATGCAACTGCATCAACATTTTTTGACCTTGACCTTTCCTATACCGTGACCTCACTTTTCTTAAATTTGTTTAGCTCAGTTTTAAACATACTATTCAAGATGGTGTTATCAAACTTCACATGTTGATACAAACTTGCATGGATGATGCATCTCAGGAATGAACATTAGCCCTATAACTTGCTTCAGCATGCAGGTCTGACCTTTATTTTGATTCCCAAGTAACTATAAACCCAACCTAAACCAAACTTGCATGGATGATGCATCTAGAGATGGACACTACTGAACCAGACTTGCTTTGGATGCTGGATCTGACCTATATTTTGATTCCCAATACTATAAGCCTTACCTGAACCAGACTTTTTTCATGGATGATGCATCTTAGGGATGTAACTACCAGTTGCTTCGGATGCTGGATCTGACCTATATTTTCCAAACAAGAAATTCACATGCATCACCATTCAAGATATTCTGTCAAATTTTACACCCATACAAATTTTCATGTTGCTTAACTAATATATACTAGGCAGGGCAGTCATGTCCTTTGGACATATTTCTAGTTTTTAGATAAGAGGAAAACCTCATTTACATACCAGATAATTTGTATGCACACAGACTCTCACATATACCATTGTTTTTATGTTTGGTCATTTTTGATATTTGTTTTTAGCTCGGTATTGCTTTTTGCATCAGCCGAAGGCTCAAGTTGCTTGTCTGATGACATTTTGTCCGTCATGTTTCCGTCTGTAAACTACATTTTCGACTTCTTCACAATGCCAATGGCCAATTTTAACCAAACTTGGTACAAAGCATCCTTAGGTAAAGAAGAGTTTAAATTCTTAAAATGAAGGGCAAAGTCCCCTTACAAGGGGAGATAATCAAGAAAAGACACAAATAGGGTGGTGTCATTATTAAAAAGTCTTCTTCTCCAGAACCACTAGGCCAGAATAGCTGAAACTTATGTGGAAGCATTCTTGGGTAGTGTAGATTCTAAATTGTTCAAATCATTACCCCCAAGGGTAGGGCGGGGCCTCAGTAGGGAATCAAAGTTTTACATAGAAATATATATGAAAAAGCTTTCATAATCTTCTTCTCAAGAACCAGTGGGCCAGAAAAGCTGAAACTCTTATGGAAGTTTCCTGATGTTAGATTGCAAAATTGCTATAAATAATGACCCCGTAGGGTGTAGGATGAGAAAAGAACCCTCACCTCAAGACAGAATTTGAAGCCCTTGGGTGGACGTCTCCATATGAGGAAAAATTCTGAAACCTATTAGGAAAATTTCCTGGGGGTAGTGTATATTCTAAATTATCAAAATCAAGATTGGGGGGGGGGGGGGTATACCACAAAGATGTAAGAAGAGGGAAAATCTGGTAAAGAACTTTATCACCAAAGCAGGCAAGCATGTGGCCCATGGGCCTCTTGTTTCTTCACAATATTAAAAAAATTAAAAAGTTCTGACCTACACTATGTATAATGTTGACTTCATTATAATTGAAATACATTTATATTCACAGAGAAGTTTTATATAACAAACAGCTCAAAAGAATGCTGAAACATCAACATTGTTGAAATAATAACATTGTTCATCACTTAGGTCATATAAAAAAATACTAGAGGTACTGTGAGCAGTTAATTGATTATATCCCCATAACTCGCGGAGTTTATTTCTTGATAATTCTGCCGGAATGTAAATTAGGCATACCCCGGCCTTGATTTTTTTTATTTTTTTTTCCTCGTCTAAATTCTGATCAAAGGCTCAAGTGAGCTTTCCTGATCACATTTTGTCTGTCGTCGGTCTGTAAACTTTTCACAATTTCGACTTCTTCTCAAGAACCAATGGGCCAATTTTGACCAAACTTTATACATAGCATCCTTGGGTAAAGGGGAGTTTAAATTGTTAAAATGAAGGGCCAAGTTTCCTTACAAGGAGAGATAATCAAGAAAAGACAAAAATAGGGTGGAGCAATTAAAAATCTTCTCAAGAACCACTAGGCCAGGAAAGCTGAAACTTATTTGGAAGCATCCTTGGGTAGTGTAGATGTTAAATTGTTAAAATCAAGACCCCCCCCCTGGGGGGGGGGGGGGGGTAGGGCGGGGCCACAATAGGGAATCCAAGTTTTACATATAAATATATAGAACAAGTCTTTAAAAATCTCTTACTTAAGAACCACTGAGCCAAGAAAGCTGAAACTAATATGTGGAAGCATCCTTGGGTAGTATAGATATTAAATTGTTTAAATCCTGACCCCTGGGGTAGGACGGGGCCACAATAGGGAATTCTAAGTTTAACATAGAAATGTATAGAACAATTTTTTAAAAATCTTCTTCTCAAGAACAACTGGGCCAGGAAAGCTGAAATTTATGTGGAAGCATCCTTGGGA